TGAGTGCCTCGATCTTTCTTTCGAGCTCATACACTTGTCTAGATAGTGATGAAAAATCTGTGGTCGACGTACTTGCAACTTGTGGTTGTGGAATAACCTCGTGAATTTTATCAGCTATTCTTCCTAAGTCAGACAGGGATGCTGTGGGTTGTGCTGCCAAGATGGTTTGTGTGGAAATTGGCAAACGATCCATCCAAAGAGTTTTCACAATTTCATCTGGCATAGTAGTACCTGCTAGTTCTTGTAAATGTCTGATAAATTGCGATGGTTTTCGGTCGCCAAGTTCTTCGTGGTCGAGTAAACGACGTAACTGTTGCTCTCTCGAAGCAGATAATCGGGAAACAAGCTCTTGTTTGAGACGAGAGTAAGCGTCACCTTCGGGAGGATTTCTTATAACGTCTTGAACTTCCGCAGCCGTTTTTTGGTCCAGATGTGCTACTACGGTGTTGAATTTTCTAGCATCACTTCGAACACCGCATAAACTAAATTGTGCTTCCAATTGTCCGAACCATAATGACGGATTATCTGACCAGAACGGTGGTGGGCGAACTTGTACCTGATTTACTTCTGGAACGTCAACACGATTTCCTTGCATTGCTTGCATCTGATTAAAGATCTGTTGTTGTAGCTCTTGAAGTTGAGTCAGTTGCTCGTCTTGTCGGGGAGCTGTAGAAGCTGGCCTTCGTATGAGTTCCTCGTCGAGTTCTATTAGGCTATCTTCTGACATTCTGACACTCACAGTCCGAGAAATAATGTCACAAAAGTTGCCTCGTCCACTAAATCACGTCGGGGTCACCAATGTGGGAGCGAAAGATAAGAATTATGATTTATTGTGGACAATTCGAATGAAACTTTTTATTGACATTTAAAACAAAATCAAATCTTGTTAATAACATTTTAATTAAACAATGAAGCATCAGTTCCTGGAAACCATAGATCGCTACATGCTCATCAAAAGTAAGTTTTCTATCAAGGATCACACCTAAGTCTTTAATTGAACTTACATCATAATTGCCATGTCCGTTAAGAGTCAAGTTAGCTTGTGATGGATTTATAGTACGAGTAAAGAGACTTTTATGACATTTTTGTGAATTAAGGTGTAGTCGGTAAACTTAACAATAATCAGCAAATCTGTTGAGATCATCTTGGAGAAGACTGTAGTCTTCAATAGAAGTGATGTTTTAGTATATTTTGAGGTCATCAGCATACAGTTGTGTATCTGTATTTACGAAACATGAACTTATGTCATTTAGAATAATGTTAAAGAGAAGCGGACCTAGATGGGACCCCTGATGTGGTATGCCGGAGGTTACTACTGGTAAAGACTGATCTGCAGCTACAAATTGGCTCCTATCGTTTACATAGGATGTAAGTATTTGCTTTAAGTTTCCATGTACAACGAATTCTCTGAGCTTCCTAACAAAGGTGGGATGATGAACCTTGTCGAAAGCTTTCGAGAAATCAGTGTACACTACACAGGCCTTATGCTAGTTACGCCACTGGATGGTCGAACAAAAAAATAATGACGAAAATCCGTAATCTTAATTCCAAGCATATTATGTTGTTTCAAAATTGAATAATGTTACAATATACCTTACAAATATTTTTACAATATATATTTTTTTATTTTTTATGAATATGGACTCTTATTATGTCCTGTAGACGTTCCTTATGTATGTCTATTGATCATCCTTTATGTACGTACATAAGATGTTATATCTAGTGTATCTGGACATTTGTTGAACATATTCTGAACCTTTATGGACATTACTCGACATAAAATGGACGTTCTTTATGTATGTCTTTGATATTTATTTGACGTATTTCGGACTTTCAGTGACGTAATGGTCGTTCTTCATGTACATCCATTGGACATCCTATACGTGCGTATAAGTACATAAGATATTATATCTTTACATTTATCGAACATACTACGGACAGTTAAGGACGTAACCGAACGTATAATGGACGTATATGAAATACAGGGTGGGCCACCAGTAACGCCTCGCTAGAAGGCTAACCACTTATCTTCTTGGAATTCTTCCTCTCTAGGAAGTTGCATGTCAACATAGGCTACCATTTGAAATTATTTCAACAACTAAAGTTGAACTTTTTTCAATCGAACACCCTATATATTATTTCATTTTGAGATTCTCCCTGGTGAGCTGATTTCAACAATCCATCATACTTGGGGTCTAGCAGTTATAATTACTGAGATATAGGGTGTGAGAAATCGAGATTTTCCAAGTTCAAGAATTTTTTGTGTCTAAACCATTCATAATTGGTCAAAACGGCTCACATGTCCCTATCTCAACTTTTGATCAACTATCTACTGACATTTAATTGAAACAAATACAGGGTGGTGCAGAATTCAGAATCTTGATCACCCGGTATATGTCCCAATTAAATATCAGTAGATAGTTAATCAAAAGTTGAGATAGGGACATGTGAGCCGTTTTGACCAATTATGAATAGTTTCGACACAAAAAATTATTGAACTTGGAAAATCTCGATTTTTCACACCCTATATTTCAGTAATTATAACTGCTAGACCCCAAGTATGATGGGTCGTTGAAATCAGCTCATCAGGGAGAATCTCAAAATGGAATAATATATAGGGCGTTCGATAGAAAAAAATTCAACTTCAGTGTTTTATGGTTTTTGGGGACACCCTGTATGTTTCGAAATGATTTGAAATGGTAGCCTATGTTGACATGCAACTTCCTAGAGAGGAAGAATTCCAAGAAGATAAGTGGTTAGCCTTCTAGAGACCGAGGCGTTACTGGTGGCCCACCCTATATAATTCAACTATAGGTCGCAGCGCATCTGTCCCCATCCAACCTACCAATACCAATACCAAATCCTGGACTATTGCATTCCCCTTCACCAACATCATGGGATCCTACTGAGACGCCGATGGATGAGGATTTTGATTTGACACCCAAAACAAGAGAACAGGAGCCCGCATTTCCTGCCCCAAAATTCCATATTGCAGCACAAGGCACAGATTGTCAAAGGTTGGGGGAGTTGACATTCAAACAAATCAGATATATAGATGTGCAGACGAGATTACAAGCTGCAACGGTTTTCAGTGCTCTGAAAGTGAACACGGTACTGACAATTGATCCCAGGGTGCACGCCAAGAACAGCTGGTCAGAATGAACTCAACTTGGGTACGATTTTAGGAAGATGCTTTATCTAATGCACTGAAGAGTCTGTCAAACAAACATTGAGGCAAGATCTCAGAGATATTTTCACTAGCGGGTCTTTTTTCAAGTCTATTTCTGATGATCTCCTACAGCATGCGTGTTGGCGAAGAGCGGAAGTTATAGAACAGAGAAGAAACGCGTTGTTACCAAAAGAGGCCAAATCAGGCATCTCTTATCAACGCAATTCCTCCTTCGACAACCCATCTATTTTGCGAGACAGGGCTATCAGACTTATTGAAACATCCATCCCATCAAAATTTCTTTCGTACCTTCGCAAGAAAACCACTACAAACCCAGACGTTTTCAGGCTTTCGCATCATCGACTCAAAGTGGGAAAAATCACGAAATAGCCGAACACGCAAATCATATACCGGTTAAGCGTTAGAAAATTTCGAACGGCAGAAGGTAGCCAGGGATTAAATCGATCCTCTACATCTCGAGATAGATTCGCAAAAGGGTCAACAGCCAGAATACTACGAAGCTCCTGATACACGAGTATTCAGAGGGGGAAGACTTCTGTCTTTCTTGGATATTTGAGAGTGAAGGAGCTCCGTAGTATTCTAAATATAATAAAAGGCTACTCGATTCCAATTATCATGAAGCCTCCCCAAGCCTTTCTCTCACGGGTAACTTCACCAAGGTACAACACAAAAGGGATGGACGTAGAAATTCATTCTCTACTGCAACAAGGAATTTCAGAGGAGTCAACCTCAGGAAGAAGATTTCTTTCGAAAATGTCCCCAGTACCGAAGGTAGATGAAAATATTCGACCCATAATCAACCTTCGGAGACTGAAAAAATAACTCCGTCCAAAGAAGGTCAGACTGATAAGATATCCCAGTTCCTTCAAGAAGATTTTCTCATAAAAATCGACATCTTACGCATATTTCCACATATCTGTGAAACCTCAATATCGAAAGTTCCTATCAATTGTTCATCAGGGCAGAGTCCTTCAGTTCTCATGCCTTCCTTTTGGCCTATCAACGGCACCCCGTACATTTGACAGGGTGTCAAATTGGCTGGCATCGCAGCAAAAAAAATGAATATAAGAGTAATAGTGTATCTCGACGACGACGATCTGTTAACCAACCAAGACCTTTTCAAGCTGAAAAAAGACGCTTCAAAAAGGGTGAATTTCTTAGAAAGACTGGGCTGGGTGATAAATCGAAAGAAATCTCTGAAAGATCTAACCCAGTGCCTAGAGTACCTAGGGATTGTCTGGAACACCGTAAATGGTTCGAAGTTTCTTCCAGAAGGAAAAGTGTTTTCCATAAGAAGAGACTCAAATTAAATATTGAAAATTCAGGCATGGAGTTAGGAATCTGCAAACTGAATCTTGTCGTATCCGCTGTCCCATTAGGAAGGCTGCACTCCAGATGGATACAAAGAGTGGCCAATATTCTACCAGAACATCAACGAAGAAGAAAATGTATTCTACCAGCGACAGCTCTTCAAAAAATTTGTTGGTGGATGCAGTACCTAGAAAAAAAGCACTTCTCTCTTCAAAAGCTACGAAACTGTTCTGATCACCGCGGACGCTTCGAATCAGGATTGGGGTGCACAGATAGACGACGAGCTTATCTGCAGGGTCTGGAACGCCAAACAGAAACATTGGCATATCAACAAAAAGGAACTGTATGCAGTTGTGCAGGCATACCTGTCGAGAACGAATCTGTTGAAAAACAAAAGGGTTATAATTCAGTCAGACAACAAGATTGGTATCTCATTTGCTGGAATTGGCGGATCTGAGAACATACGTTTGTCCTCAATATATACTAGGGATCTACAACGATGTGGCAGACAGTTTATCTAGGAAAAAAAAATGGCAGACTGGCATCTGTCGGACAGAATATCCAATATAATATTCCAAAAATAGGGAACCCCAGAAATCAACCTATTCACCACGGAAGCGTCGAAAATAGTTCCAGTCTATGCCTCGCGGGATGTGAACGACAAGGAAGCCCTCTTTATAGACGCATTCAGCAGGATATGGGGATACAGGTTAGCTTGGCTGTTCCCACCACCATCTCTGAGTCCACGAGTCCTGTCACATTTGAACAAAGCAAAGGGAACCTTCATTCTGATAGCACCACGCTGGCAAAAAGTCTTCTGGAGAGCGGATCTGAAATCCAGAGCAATAGGCCGACCCTTCCAAATTCGGAATCTTCAACATCACAGCTCTTGGAAAACATGAACTGAGAGGTGTGGGGTACTATGAGTTAACCCGAACCGTAGCTCGACATTGTAGCTTCCTTCACAAGATAAAGGGACTGTCTTGCAATACTATCAAATTGCACAAATCCGTTATAGTAACTTTAGCCAATCCAATGAAAAGCGAAATTATTTCAGATAGTCCTGTAGTGAAACGGATGATAAAAGCTATTGAGTTAACTAAGCCTCCTTCAGGAAAGAGAAATTTGGGATCACACAATTAGTTCACTGGATGGAACGGATAACCGTGCAGAAAGACAGTATATTCCAAGTGTCGCGTGACCTTGCCCTCATTTTATTATCCTCTGGCAGACGGGTACACGATCTTACTTTGCTGAGAATAAGCGAAGATTTTATGTCACTCAGTGAATCTACAGTTGTTTTTTGCTCAGACTTTGGTTCAAAAACGGATAATAAGTCTTTCAGACAATCAGCCTGGCAGTTTTCTAGGATACCAAATGTTAAACTTCATCCTGTCTAGTGGGTGCAGTTATTCCTTTCTCTCACAAAATCTAGAAGAGAAGGAGAAAACACTCGCATAGACTGTAGGCCCTGCCTCTAAGACAATCATAGCTGGATGGTTGAAATCCGCCCTTCCGGAACTGGGAATCAACTTTCCTCCAGGGAGCATAAGATCAGCAGTAGCCTCATCAAAGGGGGATTATAACGTTCTTTATTCCGAAAAATGGAAACTGGAGAAGCGACCGTAATGTGATGAAACATTACTTTAAGGAGATAGTTAGTATTCCTTGCAAGGACAATTCAGTGGATAGTTTAGTAAATTCTAGTTTCAAGTCTGTTTGATAAATGTTAGCTCTGTTACATACCATTACTAACTTAATTAAACATTCAAGTTTATTCTGATCTTTAGTTAACATTTGACAACACTATAAGATATAACCACAGTACGCTTCCCCGCGTCGTCAGAAACCAAACACTTCTCACAGGTCAAGCCGACGGCACAGACCAGGAAATAACCAACCTAGGCAAGACATGAAATATATCGTTTTCATCCATTCGGGAAAAAACGTTACTTGTTTATTTTCTCCTATTGAAGATACATACATACAGGATGTCCAAGTTATCGTACACAGGTAATATTTCGCTTATTTGACAAGATAATTGAAAAATGGAAAAACTGCTGTGAATGCCATTATAGTATACCTTCCTAATAACTCTGTCGATGTTTTTAAAAACTTCACAGAATAGAAGTAGATGAATTTTAGTTTTTGAAAAATTGATGCTTTTTATGTCAAAAAATTATTGACAGTTATTTCATTTTGTAATTTTTCATTGTTTTTTGAATTGCATCATGTTGAAATGTCAATGTTTTGTTGTTATTAATACAAAAAGAACAAGGATGTGCTATCGTTGCACTCCAAATGACACGCAATTTTCAATGAAAATATACATGGAGTCCCATTTCAAAATAAAAAGTGTGGTAGCCACCACAGGGCTGTCCAATGTGATCAGTTTTTCTATAAATCATGCGAAGGTATAGTATATCCAATATCAATTGCAGAATATCCCGCACTGTGCGGCGTCGGCGTGTTTGAAGTTTCCTTTGAAGTGCCTGCAGGTGCGGCACAAGATTCTGCAATTGTTTTTGGATGAACTATACTTTAATACCATTCAAGGCAGTTTTTTAAGTTTCCAATTATCTTGTCAAATAAGCGAGGTATTTCCTGTGTATGACAACTTGGAGACCTTGTATAATTTCATCAGTGCAATTTTGACAAAACGTATAATTTATATTGTTTATTTGATATACCAGTATAGGTAATCAACTGTGCTTTGAGTTACTTGGTTCTGTTTTATTATATAGTAAGAAAACTACATATTACAGAAAAGATAATTTGAAGCAATAGTCACACGGAATACCCAGTGGTTGAAAAAAATTGGATATTATGATTGTATGAATGCTCATGAAGTGTATATCACAAGAAAACTAATATGGTATGAAATAACATTTCTAGCTTGGTATAAAAATCAAAATTATTTATTCGTCAAAGGCACGCACTGTGAGTTACAGGAAAAATACAAACTTCACATTACCAGAGTAATTGTTTTTAAATTGCCCCTATTTCTAACAAGAATTCGCTCATGATTCATAAAAGAAGGGGAGCCCAAGAAGATTTTGGAATTTACTCGAGCGCAGAAGAATGTCATAAGGGGAGTAACCTTGCACCTCGTGAAGTACTCCCACCATACCTGTGTCGAACGTTTAGGGGAACCGATCAAATTTGTAAAAAAAACGATAGTTGGAAAAACTCGAGCGCGTCAGATTAAGGCAAGGTAAGTTATTAAAATGCAGAAAAGTGTGAATTTCAATAATTTGACGATTTGAGCCTGACATAAGGAAATGGGAGATCCACAAAGTTGCAAAAAAAATCGTAACCTGGACAATTCTCGAGCGCGGTTATTTTTTTTTATTTTTAAGGAAATTATTCAAGTATCACGGAAATAATACTCATCAATTGAATGGGCGTCGCCAAAAAAATTCCAAGCAGGGGCTGAAATTGTTCTTTCAGGACAGCAAATAATCCAATAAGTTGTATAATTCAGACAAAATTGGAAATGTGACGCATAAAAAAGTTGAATATTTTCACTGGTATCGCCATTCCCATATTTCATTAGCTGAATAAAGATCTCCCAAAGATATAGATACTTTTTCGTATAAACTCAGACGATCAATTCGAAATTATTCAGAATTCATACTTTATGCTAGCCGATATAAGGGTGTGCGATATTGATATACAGTGTGTACCTACAGCCAACAATTTTCGATTTAAATAAACTCAGGTATATATGGAAGACTGGAACCTTTGGCACGATAATACACTACACTGTTTTACCACTAACGACACGTGTTTCGCTAACTATGTTAGCATCATTAAAACAGTTTTAATCTTCTCCTGAAGATGCTAACATCGTTAGCGAAACAGGCGTTTAAAAAATCGGTTTGGTTAGTGGTAAAACAGTAAACTCAAGTATGAAAAAATGTACACCTTGAAAATTTCGAAAAATGCTATTTTTTTCTGCGGTGCCTCTTTTGTAGCATAAGTTGTTTAAATAAAATCCCACCAAAATTCCAAATTGCAAAATCAGGACTACGGACCTAGATTTTCATTTCTAGCAACTTTTCTGATGACGTTTTTGAGGTATGTGTCACTTAAAAATAGGTCTGCCGTGAGAAACTACCATGAAAATAAATACCACACACATAAGAACGAAGAATAATACTTAGATACTGAAATTCTCAGATTGGAAAGTGTACTTCTTGATGTTCAGGCGTGAATGAATATAACTTCTGAATACATGAACAGGAGCCAGGGGAGGGGATGGCCCTCCCTTGCCCTGCAGTGGCGACGCCCATGAATTAAGTCTGCGTGCGTGCAGTCGCTAGGAACTAGGTGTCTTAAATGAATACAAAAAGCTCAGTCATTTCCACACAATGTTCATAAAATTCAATCCAATTCAATTCAATTTATTGATGGCAATGTACAACATAGTGAATATAATCATAGTGATATTGAATGAGTATCATTCAATAATAACTATTTGAATTTGTTTAGTTTTTCAATTTTTTTCAATTCTAGTGGCAGATAGTTATAAAGTTTAGGACCATGGAAGTGTACAAATCTTTGAGAATGTCTTCTTGAACAATAGCAAATTCACAGACATATTTTCACATGATCTGGTGTTTTTTTGGTTTGGTGTGTCATATTCATTTTTATGGAAAAACATCCAGATCAGGCATGAGTAGGTATAAAGGCTTCTTACATCGAGTAGATTAGATTCTTTGTAGAGTTTTTCAGTAGAAAATATATAATTTTTTTCAAATATTATCTTCAAGATACTATTTGGAATTATTTGTATACACCCTAGGTTGCTATTGTACATTCCTCCCCATGCAGTAATACAATACCTGATAACAGATTCTGCTGATTGTCTACTATATCTTTTAAATAATGGAATTTGTGGATGAGTTGTCTCAGTCTGTTTCGTATGTAAAGAGCATGTTTTGTTTTTTTTTATCGCTTGGAGCGCACGAAAGGGAATCCCTATAATGTTCAAAGAACATCGTGCGTTCCTAGGGAGGATAGGGACAGGAGGTGGGTATTGGAATTTTTTTTTGAATTTTTGGAGATTATATGTTGTTGGGAATACTTCCACAGGCAATGAATTCCAGAGCCTAGCCGTTCTATGGATGAAGGAGTCTTGATAAAGTGTTGTTCGACATCTTTCGAGGTTGACAACAAAAGGATGCGCTGACTGGGCTTGTCTAGTTCGTCTGATAGGTATTGCTAGTGAAGGGATGATAGCAGAGATTTCCGAAGAACATTTCCCGTGGAAGTATCGATAAAAAAGTGAAAGGTCGCCGACCTTTCTACGGTGTTCCAATGATGTCAAAGAGTGAGTGAGTGTGGCGTCACCCACCAGGCGAATGGCTCTTCTCTGGATGGAATCTAAGAGCATCAGCGTATGTTTTGGTGCTGAACCCCATATGTGGGAACAGTATTCTAGAACAGGCCGTATCTGCGCTTTGTAGATCATGAGAAGCTGTTGAGGTGAAAAGTAGCTTTTCGCACGAAACAAGAATCCGAGTTTTTGCGAAGCAGCTTTTGCGATGGATCTGACATGATTATCCCATGTAAGAGTGTTGCTGATGGAAATACCGAGCATAGATATGGTGGGCTTGGTGGGGATGGTGGAGCCATTGAATGTGTTTGTCTAAGACAACCCCTAAATATTTCATTTTGTCGGCATTTTCAATCCTGGGACATGTATATGGATCGTGATTACAGTAAAATTTGTGTATTCTAAGGGTTTCATTTTCTGGTTGATCATTATTTTGTAGTGAGATAGTCATAAATTTTGTTTTGCCAATATTCAAACTTGAGGTTGAGATCAAGCCATAGTTTTATATCTTTCATTCCTTTTTCAGCTACTGTAAAAACCTCTGACCAGGTATCTTTAGTGAAAAC